GTACTGCTTGTTGCTGGGGGTCAGGGCTGTGTTGTACTGCTTGTTGCTGGGGGTCAGGGCTGTGTTGTACTGCTTGGTTTTAACAGTTTACACAATGTATTGTGTTGAACCAAGGCATTCTCCTGGATCTCCATCTGGTATTTCCCTCCTTACTCCCCAGTCTGCCATGTCTCCTGCGTCTTCCTTCCCTTATACCCCCGATCCTTCTTTCCAGCCCTTCCCCCTGTCTTTTGGCCCTCCTTGTCGCCTGTCTGTCCAGGCTGTTGTCCCTCGTCCTCCCAGCAATTTTCATGTTGAGCGCTCCCATTCTCCTTCTGTTGAAACTATGGAGGCTGTCGCCCAGTATGTTGTTGCTATTACACCAGTCTCCTTAAATCAGAAACGTAAGCATGGCTCCTCTCCTTCTTCCCTCCCTTCCCTGGCTGGTAAGAAGGTATCACTTTCTTCCCCACCCTTTGACTCAATCACTGCATCCCCTCTCATTTCGGTTGTTGAGCCCCCTGTCCCAGCTATGGAGGTTCCTTTAGCCCTCAATTCTCTGTGTTACTGAGGTGCGCTCCCTTGTTACAAGCCCCCCCCCCCCCACCTCTCCCTGATTCTCTTGATCGCCCTTCTCCATTGCCTCCTCCAGCTCCCAGACCCTGTCTGTCCACCACTGGTTCATCCTCCTGCTCCCTTGACTCCATCGTCCTTGCTTAATTTATCCATGGCCCCTCTTTCATTGATCCTGTTCTTGATCTTACTCAGTATACTGTGTTCTTCTTTGACTTTGTTTCTTCATTGTTCTCTGTTGCTGTTCTCTTTTTGACAATGAATATTCTTCAATGGAATATTCGTGGATTTTATGACAACTTTCACGAACTCCAACTTGTGATACAACTTCTGATAACACAGTTTTCACCGCTTTGCGGACGTCTCCAGGAGCTGATGCTTGGTGCTCGTCCTGGTCACTTTTATGGTTATTTCTTTCTCTTCCCCCTCCAGCTTTGGCTGGGGCCTATAACTCCGATAACTCTACTGCTCTCTTGATTCGTACTGATATTCCCTTCCCTTTTTCAGTCGCCCATACAATGTTCTGTGGCCCGTATCTTTGTGAGTAAATGGTATAGTCTGTTCCATTTATCGCTCCCAAATAACCTGTTTTCTCTTCCTGATCTTCGGCACCTGTTGGACTCCTACCCAGAGCCTGTACTCCTGTTGGGTGATTTCAACCTTCGACATACCTTCTGGGTTGATGCTCTGACAAACATCCAGGGCCGCCTTCTCGAACCATTTGTCCTCTATTCTTCCCTGCCTCTTCTGAATTCTGGTGAACCCACTCATGTGGACTCCCGCACTCGCACACTCTCCTGTCTTGATCTTTCTCTCTGCTCGTCTTCTCTTTATTTAGATTTCACGTGGCGGGTTCTTGATAACCTCCATAAGTGACCATTTCCCCATCCTTGTCACTTTTTTCTCTTTTCACCCTCTCCGCTCCTTCCCTAGGTGGCAGTTTGCCAAAGCTGATTGGAATCTATTCATCCTCCATGTTACACGTTCCTCGCTTTGCCTCCCAGGGCACACAGAAGTGCGTTTCCTGCTGGAATACAGACTGTGCTTGGGCTGTCCGTTGTAAGCGAGCAGCCTGGAAGAAACACCGACGCCGGCAGACAGCCGATTCTTTTGTTTTATTTTGGAAGGCGAAAGAGGTGGCCCGTAGGACCATTCGTACAGCTAAACATGAGAGTTGGAAATCTTATGTCTCCACCATTACGTCCGATACTCCTCTGCCCCAGATCTGGATGAAAATTCGCAAGATAGAGGATAAGTTTGTTCCAGATGTCTTGCCAGTCCTTCACCTCAGTGGTACTATTGTGGCGGATTCGGTGGCAGTCGCGACCGAAATGGTTCCCACTTTCCGACTGTTAGCTCTGGTTCGCGTCCTCCTCTGTCTTTCCTTAATCGTAATCCCATTCCTGAATCTTTTCCCCTAGATTTTTGCTCTCATCTTCAACTTCCCTATAACGATCGTTTCTCTCTCTCCGAACTTCCGTCTACCCTGGCCCTCTGCAATTCTACAGTAGCGGGCTCAGATGACATTCATTATGAGACGCTTCACCATCTCCCTCCATGCGCATCTTGGTATTTACTAAATCGGTATAACCGTATCTGGGAGTCGTCGTCGTCAGTCCCTGAGGACTGGCGAGGCGGTGGTTATTCCTATTCGAAAACCAGGGTCTCTAGGGACATCCCCCTAAGGACTTCTGCCCCATTGCCCTCACAAGTTGTTTGCTAACTCTTTGAATGTATGGTCAATGTTCATCTGATATGGTTCTTGGAACACTATCACCACTTCTCCCCTTTTCAATTTGGCTCTCACAAGTGCCGCAGCATGACTGATGTCTTGGAGGTTTATATTCGTACTGGATTTGCTGCAAAGACCTCCATTGTTGCTGCTGTCCTTTTTTACCTGGAAAAGGCATACGTCACCACCTTTAGATACCATATCCTGTCCCAACCCCATTCTTTTGGCCTTCGTAGTAATCTCCCTCTCTTCCTCCAGAGCTTCCTCTCTGTTCGTTCCTTGAGAGTGTGGCTTGGTACTGCTCTCTCTGCCTCTTTTCAGCAATACGAAGGTGTACCCCAAGGTAGTGTTCTGAGCACTACTCTTTTCCTTGTTGCCCTCAATGGTCTTCTTTTCTCCCTTCCCTCTGGCACCTTCTCAGTGCTCTATGTCGACGATCTTACCCTCTGCTGTTGAGGTGATGATTCTTTCGTCACCTTGACAGCAACCGTCTGTTGTTGAGGTGATGAACTTTCCTCGACTACTATTTTTCTTCAACGGCGGCTTCAACCTGCGATTGATGCTGTGTCGTCCTGGGCCACCAATCAAGTTCAAGTTTTCTACAAATAAAACTTGTGCTATGACTTTTACTTGGAAGCCGGTCGTTCTTCGTCCCTCTTTGTTGCTTTATGGTCATCGCCTTGTGTACAAAGATTCCTCTAAGCTTTTAGGGTTTATCTTTGACACTCCTTTGTCTTGGTCAGCCCATATCTCTTACCTCCGAGTTGAATGCCCTAAGGCCCTTAACACACTTAAGGTCTTATTCCATACTTCTTGAGGTGCGATAGGCGTATGCTCCTCTCTTGTTCTGCCGATTATGGTTGCCCTGCTTACTCGTCTGCTTCTCCTTCTACTCTTCGCCGTCTTGATGCTCTGCACCATACTGTGTTATGCCTCAGCTCTGGTGCCTTTTGTTCGACTCCTACCCCTAAGCCTTCATGTTGAAACTGACATCCTGTCTCTGCAGGATCGCTACTGTCTAAGCATGTCTAAGTCTTGCATGGTCTTTATAACACCCTCACTCGTGCCTATGTTGTGCTTTGACTTTTTCCCCTCCTGTGGTCCCTGTTCCCCTTCTCAACCTCATTCTTTCTGCACGGTTGTCTCGCTTACAAGATTCTCTTTCGGTTAGTGCTTCCAATATTTCTACTCGTGTTGTTCCATCTTTGCCCCTGTGGAAGGTCCCCCCTTCTTAAATTTTGTAAAACCTTGACCCACGTGACTAAAAGGTTTACCCCTCCTACAGTTCTGAAACGTCTTTTCCTCGAACACTTTTCTTCACACTCCCACCCCATTTCTGTCTTCACCGATGGGTTTAAGTCTGCAAATGGTGTTGTCGCCTGCCTCCAAAGACTAGCGTCTTCATGTCAGAACTTTATGCTATTCTGTATGCTCTATGTCAACTGTTTTCTCGCTGTCAATCTTCCTTTGTTGTTGTAGTTGACTCTCGTAGTGCCCTCATGGCTCTGGAGTCCTTTAATCCAGTCCATCCGAGAGTAGTCGAAACTCAACATTGGCTGTTTCTTATTTCCAGTAGATTTAAGAAAGTGGAGTTTTGCTGGGTTCCCAGCCATATTGGTGTGTCCTTAAATGAGTGTGCAGATGCTGCCACTAAGGAAGCTATCTGCACGTCCCTTTGTCTTTTGTTCCTGGTAACAAACTTTGTGCTCTTAAAGATTAGTATCATCATGGCCTTCCTCCTACCACCGTAACCGGCGGTGGGAAACGGCTCTTGCAAGGTTGCGTATTGGCCATACACGGACACTTTATGAAGTGCTGCTCTGCTCCTTATTGTCCAAACTGTATTATCCCTCCTACAGTCGTGCATATCCTTGTTGAATGTCCTCACTTCCAGGACGAGCGTGTCTTGCTTCCCGACCGTCCCTCGCGGTCACTTGTCCCTCTCATTCGTCTCATGCATTTCTGTTCTTATATTGGCATCCTTAGTGATATTTAGCGGCCTTTGATTATTCCGCACATTTGATGGTACTACATAACCTTCCTGGCTTGGTACCTTTTTTGATAATTACTTACTTAATCATATCTGCAGCTCAGAGCTAAGAAGATCATTCTTAACAAAATTAAGGAAGTCTGTCTTGAAAGTTAAAGCTCTATAAGACCAGGGCAGGATCCTAGAGTAAAGTCAATGTTATCTGTACTGTGATCCTAGAGTAATGATCAATGGTATCTGTACAGTGATCCTTGAGAATGATCAATGTTATCTGTACTGTGATCCTAGAGTAATGATCAATGGTATCTGTACAATGATCTTAACATGATCATAATGAATAGAGACAACTATAATGATGGTGGTGGTTGGGGTCATAACTCCAGCCACCAGTAACGAGGACACCGATATAATGAAGCCTAACACCAGTACAAGGACCCTTGCCACATTGTGACCATAACACCAGCATAATATGGTCCAGCTACCCGGGTGGTACTCTACACCCAGGTAGGGAAATATCAGGAGAAAACCCAAAGATATTACGACTATATAGCACTGCGAAGGGTCAGGATAAGGATTTGGGTGTGACGGGGGGAAGGAATGGTGCCCAACCACTTGGACGGTCGGGGATTGAGCCCTGACCTGTATGCCGCTAGACACTCATTCAACACCCCAGGTGAGGCACTAAACCTTTCCAAATAATAATGTTTTACAATCTTCCTTCTGCAGGAGTGGGCGGCGGTGGTCCTGGGGCGGCGATGACGTCGGCGGGTCTGACATTGTCGACGCAGACGCTGGCGGTGACGTCGACCCCTCGGTCGCCCTCCCTAGCCTCCATTTCTTCCGATGGGAGCACCGACAGCCACCTGGTGGAGAGAGAAGACATTGTGGCCCTCACCACCGCAGTTAGAGCCTTCAAGGAGGCTCTTGGCAAACTCAAGAGGATCTTCCACCCGGAGAGAGGTCAGTATCCAGTAGCTCTTCCTTGTCGTTCTGGTCCAAGGTCGCCCCTATCCCCGGTCATATCCCTCCGGGACAGGGATGGGCGCGGGCGTCGTCCCGCTGAGGGATGGGCGGGGGCGTCGTCCCGCTGAGGGATGGGCGCGGGCGTTGTCCCGCTGAGGGATGGGCGCGGGCGTTGTCCCGCTGAGGGATGGGCGCGGGCGTTGTCCCGCTGAGGGATGGGCGCGGGCGTTGTCCCGCTGAGGGATGGGCGCGGGCGTTGTCCCGCTGAGGGATGGGCGCGGGCGTTGTCCCGCTGAAGGATGGGCGCGGGCGTTGTCCCGCTGAGGGATGGGCGCGGGCGTCGTCCCGCTGAGTGATGGACGCGGCTCTTCTTTGTGGCTCTATCATAAAACTAAATAGATTTGTACTAAGCGTGTGTATGTGTGTTAAAACAGTCATGGATAAGTGTAGGCTGGTAGTGAGAGTAGGTCTCTCACGATTATTCCACAGTTGACTTGAATGGCTCATTGCAGTGCACAGTGCACCGATTTCGTGCACATGCCCTATCTCTGTTAACCCTGGATAGTAAACTGTCATGTTGGGTATCTCCAGGATGCCTACTTAACCAGGAATACGTTTATAATACTGAGGCCGCCGTATGTCCAGGCAGGAAGTAGATACAAGAAAGTTAAGCATACTTGCCACAAGGGTCAGTGAGTACAGAGGAGGTGCCTGGCGTGAAAGAGGGAGAATGGACGCCAGCGAGGCGACAGACTGACCTCTGGGGTCAGCCTCAACTGGAGCAATGGAGAATAACAACTAGGACGTGGTTGTGACGTGTTCATGATGTCACCTCTGCTACTGATCATGGAACGATCAATATGATTGGTTCTCGCTCTTTTGCTAAAACGCCATTGGTCAAAATTGTAACCCCTTGTGTTGTATCCCACGAGGAGCCCTGAGCCCCAGGCAAGAGCATTCACGTAAGGAAGTTCGTAGCTAGAGGACGTGTCTTGTTCTGTCTATCAGCCAATAGACTGAATACCGTCCATTCCTCACCGTCTTCAGGATGGTGAGCTCACCGTCACCGTCAGCTCAGGATGGAAGGAAGTCGATGAAGAACTCTGTAGGGTAAGGCAGGTCCTAGCCAACAACGGCTTCTCCAATGGTTTCGTTGAAGACATCATAAAAAGAAAAGTGAAACGCCATGCAACCTCTGAAGAGTCAACTAACACAACACCTGTACCCTCTATTAGACTATTTTACAGGAACTTCTTTTCTACAGCTCATAAAACGGAGGAAAGTGTCCTGAAAGATATTGTTGATAGGAACGTTATCCCTACAGACAAAAATCAGAAGATAAAATTGACGATTTACTATAAAACCAAAAAAACGGCCAATCTACTCAAGAAAAACTCTCCAGACACAAAGCAGAACGCTTTAAAGGAGACCAACGTCGTCTATGCCTTCAAATGCCCACTTGGGGACTGTAAGCCTCAAAGAACTCAGTATATAGGCAAGACAACAACATCTCTTTCCAGGCGATTAACAATGATTAAGCAACAGGACTCCATTAGGGGACATATAATCTCTTCCCACATCCAGACCATCACCAGAGAAATCTTAACACACAACACAGAAATCATCGATAGATACAGCGATAGCAGGCGGATTGACATCAGCGAGGCACTACACATCAAAATGTCAACACCAGCAATCAACAGTCAATTAATGCACAACTATATTCTACCCACTTCAAGACTCCGTACCAATATAGAAGCATCAAGAGGAAGTATAGGCCAATAGGCTCTTTGCAGTTACTTCCCTTCTTCCCTCTCATTTATCCAATTTATACCCATTGCACTGTGTTCTGTCTTGTGTTGGTCAAAAGTTTGTTCACCTCATCCAAAACTGTTGCAACATATCACCTCACCCAAATGCGAGTATATAAGACAAGCTGTTCAATGTTAACATTGTGTAAAACTCTGTTTAGTGTTTTCAGGTTACAGTTGTGTGTGTGTTAACTAATGTCTTTGAAAATGTACTAAGTTATTACGAAACGCATTCAAGCGTCGCGTCAAACTAGAAATAAAAATGAATTTTGGAGAATTGATTTTTCAGTTACCATCGACAGTAAAAAGAAACATAAGAAATATTCAGAAAATTTGTGTTAGAGCATTTGTGAAAAAATTCGTGAAAAGCACAAATACTCTGTAAGACATGGCCAATTGTCTAATGCTTTGTTTGTTCATCTGTCAGAAGATTCTCACCAAATTGATTGGGAGATGGCTTCTTCAATAACAAATTGTAAAAGCACCTATAACAGAAACATAATTTAATCTGCTTTGATACAGATCACAAAAGAAAGTAATATGAACATTAGCAGTGGTCTATATAACTTAGACCCATTTGTAATAGATCAATTAAAGGGCGATTTAAGTAGGATCATTGGAACACATTTGTTTCACTAATTCATTGTATATATTTACTATTTTATGCTATAATTATCCATGTGTTGGCCTGTGTGCGGTTGCTGCATCAGATGGGCCAATGGGCTTCATCAGATGGGCCAATAGGCCGTCTGCAGTGTCCACTATTATAGACTCGTGGGTTGGTTGGTGTTGTCGTCGTCGATCCTTCTCTATGGACAACCCAACCCACAACTCGGCAGAGTGCTTATACTAGGAGATCACCCTTGGCGCTTCTGGCTCTTGGAGAGGGGCTCAACGTCACACGTTTAGGGGATGCGGCTCCAACACTTAGCCTCGTTGTCACGTGCACACACCCACTTGAGCCGCTGTGACTCCCCACTCTCTCCTTATGAGATATGATCTCAATCCCCTATGACTTACTAGTATTACCTCTTACCCTGTCCACAGCAGTGGTTCTTGGTTCTTTCTCTCTCCTTCTTTACTACCTCCTGGGAAGCCTCACTAGGACAAGGGCAAACACCAGCAAATTGTGACACATTTACTGGACAAAGCACATACACGATACATACACACATATAATAATAATGAATCCTATACTCGATAATCACAATCAGGTTGCACTCCAACACCATCAGAACTCTATTATCAGCTTATCCAGTGGTATCCTATCTCCTGGTTCACCACCTGATACTATTAACCTCCTCAAGTTGGTCAAGCCTACATACACTGTTGCACTATCAGCAAGATGATGTATATATAGAATACCAGCATTTGAATGCAATAACATATATCAGTATAAATGTTCATTGATACACAACAATGATTAATCGATCACTGTCAGTCCTCGAGCACATACATCTGTAGGTAATCAAGCCTACGACTGCAACTCTAAGCTTCAGACTAAATCACTCCTTGACATAAGAATACAAACAGTCACTCACCTCTCACTGCGTCTTGCACGCTAATGACAACCAAACACTATCAACTCCCTATAAGTAATCCACCAGAACTTCCCCTTCCACCTCTGGAAGTTCACTACCCTAATATCCTTAGGTTCTTCCGGGCTTCACTACCAGGATCCTCTGCAGCTCCTCCAGGCTGCTATCATGAAGTTTCCTTGAGCAACTACGGTGCTTCACCCTTCTGCTAGGTTCCTCCACAGCTCTCTTGGCTGCTACACCATGAAGTTTCTCCGAGCAACTATGGTGCTTCTCCACCTCTGCAGAAGCACGTGACACTCCTCTTCACTGCTGCTTCTCCTCACAGCTCGAGGTCCTCTGCTCCACTACCTTTGGAGTCTCATCAATTACTTCATCTGCTGGCTTCGAAGTTCTCAGCAACTTCTTCCCCAAAGAACAAACCTGCAACCCATCGACACTCCAATAAAATGTTCCCCTTTAACACATAAACAAAAATAACCACACAATATGCTTGCCTCAAACCTCTATCTGTCCTCTACATACAGTGAGAGTGGACTCCCCCGTTTTGGGCGGGTCCATACTCCACCTCGCCTGGCGGCGGTCCTCACTCACTGGGAGGGTCTTCCTCCATCCGGAGCCAGGCTCCCTCAGTCGTCCGCCAGCGCTCAGAGGGGGCGCACGTCGCTCCGTGTTCCTCCCTCTCCACTCTCTTATTTCAGGCTTTCTGCCTTATTAAAACATGTCTAACTTATAAATAAACATTGCTACCGTCGCTGGGCACACGACCAACTACAAGTGATCACTATGAACTGGCGTATATCGTGCTTACCACAGATTAACTGATCGAGGGCGCTTTTCCTCTGACGGCGTCTGGTCAGGGCGCTCCACACAGCCCACAATAATGCTTCTGGGCGATTTAATATCTGCTCGTCGACCAGGACTTGAGACCACAACGTTCCCAGCTCGATTCCACAGCTGGTACGTCCGCACACTTCTCTTCTCTTCGAGATATATCACTAGGGGTTCCCTTCTGACGGGAGCTCAACGGAGCGCGGCTTCCCCCTGCGATGTCTGGCACTCAAGTGAGGTCAAGGTCCTCCGGAAGCGAGCCTCACGCCTCCAGCAAAATGTCCACATCTCCTAGCCAGTCATTTATCTATTTTCTTCTGCATTGCCCATAATCTCAAACTGTTACACATATCCAACCAACTATTTTACATATGCGTTATCACCTCAATACTTGCTAGACCTTCTAGTTAGGTCAGGCTTGCTGAATAACTCTCAAGAAGGGAGACTCGTTTCTCCTGCAGGCTGAGATCATAACACCACATATTGTACCTCACCTCACTCCACCATTCTCTCCTGCCTATTTATGTCCAGTGCTCGATCTGTAAAATCACTCCTTCTGAAGATGTATTAATATACGAAAGTACTTAAGGAAATTCCTGTTTCATTTTTCCTCCGTGGTCTGACATTGTCACATTTTTAATCACTTGTTTATTTTCGTGATATACACACACACACATACACACACACACACACACACACATATATATATATATATATATATATATATATATATATATATATATATATATATATATATATATATATATATATATATATATATATATACATATACAACTTTAGAACACTTTCCCACCAG